TTGTATATCCGCCGATCCGGCGCGTGAGTTTCTGAGAGCGTGGGCTTGAGCTCGCCCGAGCTTCGCTCTGGGGGGGGGTCGGGATCCGGCGAATTATCCACGCAATTCAGCGAGCGCTCCAGCGGGGGGGGGGTCCAAGAATCGAGGGGGGGGAGCTCGAGCGAGGGCGGGGGGGGGGGGTCGAGCTCAAAGTGGGGGGAGGGGCTCCAAGGAGGAAGCTCGAGCAGGGGCGGAGGGGGGGGTTCGAGCTCAGCTGGGGGGGGGGGGGTCAGCGCGGGCGGGGCGGAGGGGGGGGGGGGGGGGGGGGGGTCCAAGAATCGAGGGGGAGGGGGGGGGAGATGGGGAGGGGAGGGGGTGGCTCGAGCGAGGACGGGGGGGGTGGGGTGGGGGGGGGTCCGAAACGGAAGGGGGGGTCGAGCTCAAGCGGGAAAAGGGGGGGGATCAGCGCGGGGGGGGTTCCAAGAATCGAGGAGGAGAGGGGGGGGGGGGGGTGGGAGCCGAGCAGGGCGGTGTGGGGGGGTCGAACGGAAGAGGGGGGGGGGGTTCGAGCTCAAGCGGGGGCGGGGGGGCGGATGGGGGGGCAGCCAGAGGAGGGGGCGGTCACAGACTCGAGGGGGGGTGGGGGGGGCTGGGCGCGAGCTGAGGACGGGGAGGGGCGGTCGAGCTCAAGCGGAGCGGGGGGGGGTCCAAGACCGCGGGGGGGGCGGGGGTTGGGTCCAAGAATCAAGGAGGGGGGGGGGCTCGAGAGAAGGACGTGGGGGGGGGGGGGTCGAGCTCCAAGCGGGGTGAGGGGGGTGGGGGGCAAGGGGGAAGCTCGAGCGGGGGGGTGGGCGGAGGGTGGGGGGGGGTCGAGCTACAAGCGGGGGGAAGGGGGTCTACGCGGAGGGAGGAGTCCAAGAATCGAGAGGGGGGAGGGGGCTCGAGCGAGGACGGGGGGGCTCGAACGGAGGGGGGGGGGGGGTCGAGCTCAAGCGGGGGGGGGGGGGGTCAGCGCGGGGGGGGGGGGGGGGCAAGAATCGAGCGGGGAGGGGGAGCTCGGCGAGACAGGGGGGGGTGGTCGAGCTCAAGCGGGGGGGGGGGGGTCCAAGGAGGAAGCTCGAGCGGGGGCGGACAAGGGGGTCGAGCTCAAGCGGGGGGGGGTCCAAGAAACCGGGGAGGGCAGCGGGGGGGGGAGGGACGTCGTCGTCATCATCGTCCGTCGTTGACCCGGTCGTCGGTCGTCGTCGTCGTCGTCGTCCGTTCCCACGCGCGTCGGGAGCGCCCCGGATCGGCGGCACTAGCCGGAGGCCATTACAATATTCCGACTTATATATTTTTACACGGCCGGGGAGCCCCCCCCCCCCGGGAGCGCACCCCCCCCTCCCCGAACGAATTTCGGATTTTCCATCCTGCCGGGGCGCTCTCCCTGGCTCTCCCCAGCGCTGACCGGCGGCCTGGAGTCGCCTTGGACAGCCCCCAGACACGGCTACGCCGCCCGAAGACGGCCCCGGGAAGCTTGACATTGACAGCCAAGGAACTTTAACAATTCCTACAAAAAAAGAAGTCCCCACCCGCTCACAAGGCCGCCCAGAGAGCCACCAAGATGCGCCGAAGAAACCCAAAACTAGAATTTTCTCATGTTTAGGAACGATGTTGGCTTTCTCGCCTCTCGTCCTGCCAAACTCAAAGACACGCGAAAAGGCACCTGAGACCGCTCCACGACGGCCTAGCAAGCGGCCGAAAGCGAGCCCCGAGAGGCGTCCAAGATGGCCCATGACAGCCGCATGACGGCCCCAAAAAAAGCGCAGAGGCACCCAAGGCCTCTCCAACATGGTCCAACCGATCGCGAAATCAGCTTCCCGACGGCCCACAAGGCGTTCAAAACGGCTTTCAGACGTCCCCGCGGGGCCAAGAGGCCTCCAAGATCGCTCGAAGACGGCCCGCCCGATCCGAGGGGCTCCCCGAGAGGGCTTGCGGGCCCCAATCGAGCCTCCAAGATGGCCCAAGAAAGGCTGATGACCTCCCCAGAAGGACCCAACTTGACAGCAAACGAGCATAACAGGGCGCCACGAAGTTCCGAAGCCCCACGCAGCTCCGAGGTTCCGAAGGAGGCCCGCGAGGTTCCGAAGTCAGCCACATTGGTCCCAACGAGGCTCCTAGGGTGGCCCAGCCTCCCGCGTGGTCTCCGCCTGTTGCGAACAGCCGTTTGTGCCAAGTGATGGCGCTCTTTTACTGCAGCGATGCCTCCGAATAAATCAGTTACATTCGTGTGCGCTTTATGTTCTCGATGCTTACCGCGACGTGCATTCTCCAACACCCAATTGGACAAACCTCCGACCATTCGGGCTTGCAAGAGTTGCGCCGCCAACGCGCGCGCATCAGCGAACCAGCCAGCTCACGTCCTACTTTGCTCTTGCTGTGGAAATTTGAAACCGAGAGCGGATTATTTATCATATGCCTTGCGCCGGACCGCTCGAAAGTGCACGACCTGTCGGACGGACTCCGCCGTCGCTCCTATTACTTCAGATACATTCGTGTGCGCTTCATGTGCTGAATGCTCCTCCTCCTCCTCCTCCTCCTCCTATCCCTCCTCTTCCTCCTCTGCCTCTCCCCCTCCTCCTCCTCCTCCTCCTCCTTTTCCTTCTTCTCTTCCCCCTCCCCCTCCTCCTCGTCCTCGTCGTCCTCCTCCTCCTCCTCCTCCTCCTCCTCCTTCTCCTCCTCCTCCTCCTCCTCCTCCTCCTCCTCCTCCTCCCTCTCCTCCTCCTCTTCCTCCTCCTCCTCCTCCTGCTCCTCCCCCTCCTCCTCCTCCTCCTCCTCATCCTCCTCCTCCTGCTCCCCCTGCAAGACCTCTTCGTCTTCCTCCTTTCTCTTCTCTTCTCCTTCCTCCTCCTCCTCCTCCTTTTGCTGCTGCTCCTCCTCCTCCTGCTCCTCCTCGTATTCCTCCTCTTCTTTCCTTCTCCTCTATTTCCTTCTCTTCCACTTGCTCTTCCTGCTACTCTCCCCCTCCACGTCCTCCCCCTCTTCCTCCTCCTCCCCCCTTCTTCCTCCTCCTCCTCCTCTCCTCCTCCTCCCGCTCTCTCTGCAAGTCCTCCTCGTCTTCCTCTTTTTCCTTCTCTTCTCCTTCCTTTTCCTCCTCCTCCTGCTCCTCCTCCTCCTCGTCGTTTTCCTGCTGCTCCTCCTCCTCGAACTCCTCTTCCTCCTCCTCCTCCTCCTCCTCCTCCTCCTCCTCCTCCTCCTCCTCCTCCTCTCTCGCCCCCGCGTCGTCTCCCCCCTCCTCCTCAACCTCCTAGAATAAAGAAGTAGAAGCGAGGTCCGAACCACGCCGAAGGCAACTGGGCCCTTGGGAGGACAGCCGGCGGGCTCCCCCGAATGGCCCTTCCTCCCTCCCCCAAGTGCCCCTGCCTCCCTAACCCTGCTCCTCCTTTTCCTGCTTCCTCCCATCGGGGATCCAAGAGACCCCCCAGATCCCTGTAGGAGTGCCACGGTTCGGAAAGCCCAACGACGTCCAAGAGCGAACGTCTCGACGAGCCCCCCGCGCAAAGCCCACGCCGACGTTCTGCAAGGCCGCTTTCCCCGAAGTCGCATCAGCACGCGGCCTGGCACACCCCCCGTCTGACGCGCCACATTCTGGCCAGAATCCTGGGTTCGCAACCATTTGAACACAAATTTGGTTGCGAACCCGGGGTTCGAAGGGTTTTCCTTTGGGAACAGCTCCCCTCACAAGAATCGTGGCATCCGGGCGCGAAAGTAAGAGCTCTCCGCTCCAACAGGCTGTTCACAAACCACGCGGCCCGAAGAAGAGCGCCCAAAAGCATCGACGACTTCCAACAAGCGCCGAAAGGCCTCCAAAAAACCTCAGGAGTCCTCCGAAGAAAGCACTGAGAGTCACAATGCATCGATTTCCCCATAGCGTTTGAAGGATTTGTTCTTTCTCTCTTGCTCGACCGTCCGACGTTGCAAACGGCCGTTGAAGCCCGCCAACCCCTTCCAAAACGACCCCAGAGGCTTGAAAGCGAACTCCCATAATCCTGAAGACAGCATCACCCAGGCCCAAGAGATGCCCAAGACAGTCCCCAAGAACCGCTTGCCAAGCCTCAGAGACAACCGCGCATGAAGACAAAACCATCTCACTCTGCCGTCTCAGTGTAACAACCCCCTCCATCCGCAACCTGCCCCACTTCGTGATGCATAACCGCGAGGGCCCCTCAAAGGACTCCCAGGATAGCACGAATGCCAGCTGATCCAGAGCTTCAAGGAACAAGGTGCATGGCGCGAAGCGCCAATGCAGTCTTGTGTGTATATATATATATACATATGTATTCACCAATCAGAGCTTGCCTATGTAGGGGTCCTAGCGGATTCATATGGTTAGGTGAGGTAGGCCGCCGATTTCGGTGGCTGGCCCGGGTGCCCGGGGGTGCCGGGGGGTGCCCGGGGATGCCCGGGTGCCCGGGTGCCCAGGTGCCCGGGGGTGCCCGGATGCTTATCGCCCTATAACCCTATAGCCCTATAGCCCACTAGCCCGATAGCCCGATAGCCCTATAGCCCTATAGCCCTATAGCCCAATCAGCCTAAAGCCCTATAACCCTTTTAGCCTGTTAGCCCTATAGCCCCACAGCCCTATAGCCCTACAGCCCTATAGCCCTATAGCCCTATAGCCCTGTAGCCCTATAGCCCATACAGCCCTACTGCCCTACAGCCCCATAACCTGTAGCCCTGTAGCCCTACAGCCCTATAGCCCTATAGCCGTATAGCCCTATAGCCCGATATAGCCCTACAGCCCTATAGCCTTATAGCCCTATATAAACCTACAGCCCGATAGCCCCAAAACAAATATTGTTGGGGCTTTTCTCCGGTGTCATGTTGCTCCACCTGAACTGCTTCAGCTTCTTTGCACAACCTATATATATATATGTATATATATATATATATATATATATATATTACAAGAGACACATAGTTTGGGGCCCATGCTGGCTAACATGTATACATGTAACAGTTTGTATAGAACTGTATGTATACACGTATAGAGAGAGAGAGGGTTTGCAACCTATCTTAAGGAACGGCCGCCAAGGCTGATCCCCATCAAAACCGTATCGTACAAGCGTGGCGTGCTCCTCAAGCCTGGGAGCATATGAGAAAGCTATGCCCCTTTCAGATTTCGAGCATGCTTCCACTTGATCACCTCCTCGAAGCCATCCTCGTGCTCGAGAAAGACAATCACAAAACCAAGAGAAGGAATATCATGCCGTGCTTATCGTGGTATGCAACATGTGAGGCTCAGCCTGCCCAAAGAGCAATGCTTCAACATATGCTGACAGCAACATAAAAACGTACAGACGCTGTCGAACCATCTGCGCACTTAGAACGGAGAGCGCAAGCTGGATAACACAAGACATAGTCGTAACATTGTTACACACAAGAGAAGCATGTGCGAAGAAAGCGGAATTACAGGGTCGTCCTTCTCGTGCCGGATTTTGCAGCCAGCCTCCTCGATGCTGACCACGTACACACTGTGACTGCCTTTGAATTCCCCGTGGGAAACCTTCAAGCTTGCCCAGTCGCCGACGTTCAGATTGAATGCCTCCATCCGAGCCAATCTCATTTGATAGAAGGAGAAAGAGGAAGGCAGGAAGCATCAAACATGCCAGGGAACGCTGCTCCACACAAGTGCACGCTAGCAGAGCACAGTGGACAGGCGGGGATGAACCTCTCGCAGATGGAACACGATGCGACGTGCCAAGCTCGCCAGCGCGCTACAACAGAAGCACCGCGCACCAAGCAGAGAGGCGCACGACAACATTGATACTACCGCCTAGCAGCCACAACTGATTCGCATCATCCTCAGCCCCTTCTATCCGTCTGAATCACATCAATCTGGGAAACGCTGTTCAAACTGTCTGACATAAACCAATATCAGAATCGCAAACCGTCCCGTGCAATGAATGATTCTGTAATGTCGGGCACAATCGGACATGGAAATGCAAAAGTGCCGCCCCACTCCCATAGCAATGTCCTCCGACGGATCTTGGGCTTTCGGTGCTGGACGAGCCTTCGCCTGCATCGCAAGAGATCTGCACGGGGCGGCAAGGTTGGTGGCCATGACCAATGCCATGAGTTCCATATGCCACAGAAGTTTGTCTGAGTGACAGGAGAACACGCGCAAGCACATTTCGTCCCTGTGAGCGTGACGTCTAGCAAAGTCCTCTTTAGACAGTTGCTGGTTCAAAATGGTCGAGGCATGAACTCGTGGAAGCAACTTCGAGCTACGGCCTGCTCCCCCACCCGCCTGCTTGCATATATTATTCGCCGTGCAGACGAAACGCAGCGCACGCGCAAAGGTAAGGGAGGCGAATATACCCCTGCAAATGCTGCAGGCACGTGTCCCAAGACAGCTCGAATACGAAAAACTGGCATCTGAACAACGAGAGGACCACAAGAAACTCTGATAAGTTCACCAGCGTTCAGGATATTAGTTGGGTGTCTCGCACCCACGCAAATCAAATGTCATCTATCTCTTTGTGAACACATGTAGATGTATATACATATATATCACGCACGCACATACTGACATGGTGGGCATTCCAGTCCACCACAGTGCCATAGGTACTGATTGTACTGTCCACAGGTTCTCTGGAGTGCTCAGTATTGAATATCGTGAGCACTCTGTAGCGCAAGACCTCATCTTCTCTGGACTTTCTGGGCACATGTGCGCACACCCCTGCGCACTTATCCATGCTCGCGCTCACATCCGTGCATGTACGCATGGGCGGGCGCTCGCGATAGAACGTGGCGGACCGGGGGCGGGGTGGCCTCTGGCGGTTTTGCCTTGGCCTTGGCCTTGTTTTCCGCCTTCTTCTGAGCCTTCGTCATCCTGGAGCTACGATCGATAAGACCCAGAGGCAGGACAACATGACACGATTCCATCATATGGACAAGTACACGTATACACATGCAAATAATAAGGATACACATGCTACTGCGAATGCGCACACACACATTTACATATACAGCTGTACGAATACAGCGAACTCTTTTTCCCAGCCATAATTACCAGGAGTTAACACAACGCCAGAACACAAACGCACGATGCCCGTCCGGGGGCGGCGCAGAACAACCGATCCGCTTCCCCTCATGGGGGGATATAATCGCACCCAACAGATATAGGCTCGAGTTCGATGGCGGCAGTGCTGCTCTACAGTGGCTGGCCTGGTAGACGTCACCACTTTCAGGGGACAAGGGGAGGAGGAGAAGGAGGAGGAGGAGGAGGAGGAGAGCGAGGTGAGGGGGGTGGAGAAGAACACACCAGCACTGATCCGGGACAACGTCGGGTCCGGCCACGGGGACTGATTCGCGAGTGCCCCAGGAGAGCCCAAGACCGCCCCTTATGGCCCAAAGACGGCCCCAGAGGGCCCTAGGAGGCCTCAGGAGGGCCAGGCGAGCGCCCCAAGACGGCCACGATCGGCCCAAAAAGGCCCAAGATGGGCCCAAGATGGCCACTCGACGGCCCAACGGGCTCCC